AAAAAAAAAAAAAAGATATGGCCTATGTTAGTCGTGATAGATTTTTTTTGTTTTTTGTTTATTTTTTTTGTGGTGAAAACATATACACTAAAACATTCACCAACATAACTTTTACATTTATAGCAGGGATCCTAATGACATTTTTCATGTTGCGCTACCATTATTGCTATCCTTTTCCAAAATATTCCACCACCATTAGTACAAACTCAATGCCCTGCAAACAAAAGCTTCCTTTTTGCCCCTCCCTTCGACTGCTGGTAACCACTAATAATAATCTTTGGTATGTATGTATGTACGTATATTTTGTTTTTTCTTTTTTTAAAAACTAGCAGATTTCCCTCCTCTCCCCTCCCATCTCTAATAACCAACAAAGTTTCTTTCCAAATATAAACTTTCCTTGACTTTTTAAAATAGTGGACTAATACAATATTTGTCCTGTGATTGGCTTGTTTCACTAACATGATGCTTTTCAAGTTCACCCATGTTAAGCAGTGTTTCACAGATTCTACGTCATTCTTTAGTGTTGTATAGTGTTCCATTGTGTGTGTAGCACAGTTTGGTCATCTATTCCTCTGTTGATGGGCACTTAGGTTGTTTGCATCTTGTTGCTATTATAAATAGTGCTGTGATGAACATAGGTGTGTATATATATCTATTTGTGTCCTGGCTCTCACTTCTTTATATACCTAGTAATGGAATTGCTGGATCAATTTGTATTTCTGTTTCCAACTTTTTAAGGAATTGCCATACTGATTTCCACAGTGGTTGTATCATTTTACAGTAGTGTTAATAGAATTTTAAATTTATATTAAATGGAATTTATTTTGGATGATTAACATAGTGACATGACATACATTGATATTTTCAGTGCTTTAAAAATAGGAAAAATCTTATATTGTTTTGCATATAATCTATAGTTTTCACATTTGTGATTTAGCATGTGTAATAACCAAAATAAAAATGTACCTATGTTTGTCTCTTCTCTCATTCACCTACATCTCCCTCCTCCCAGCATTGCCACCACCACCGCCTCCTGAATTCTGCCCTGCTTTCAGCAAAGTGATTAACCTTCTGAATTGTGATATCATGATGTATATTCTCAGGACCATATTTGAGCGGGCAATAGACACAGAATCTAACTTGTGGACTGAAGGGATGCTCCAAATGGTATGTATACCTGGAATATTATCTCTACTTTGAGTTCTAGAGTTTTTAGGGATCTGGATAAGGTCATTATTCTAACTTTCTAAGTTCAATCAGAAGCACATCTAAAGTCCTAAGGGTCATTAAAAATAGCTTCTCTCTCTCTCTGTCTCTCTCTCTCACACACACACACACACACACACACACACACCCCTCTGCCACTGAGTCAGATCCGACTCATCGAGACCCCTCCTTGGGTTTCTGAGGCAGTATCACTAACGGAAGTAGATTGCCCAATCTTCCTTCCGAGCATTCCTCAGAAGGAAGATTGGGCAATCTACCATGGTATATATTTCCCTAGTGACTCACTGTCATATTTTTAATATCTTGGGAACCATTTATGTTTTAAAAAAAAAAAAAATCAAAAAAAGGCCTGCTCATACTAATAGTAAATTGGCATGTCATTGTTAATCATGATTTATTATATTTTTTATTTCACATGTATTACAAAGGAGCCCTGGTTGCACAGTAGTTAAATACTTGACTGCTAACCCAAAGGTCTGCAGTTTGAATCTACCAAGCCACTCGGGAGCAAGACCTGGCAATCTGCTCCCATAAAGTTTACATCCAAGGAAACTCTGTGGGGCAGTTCTGCTCTGTCAGATGGGGTTGCTTGGAGTCAAAATCAACTTGCAGCACCTAACAGCAATAACTACAACATGAGAGACAGTATAATACAGGCTTTGAAGGCAGGTAGGGCTAGGCTTGAATCCTGGGTTCCACCACATTTTTATTTTGGAGAAAGTAATAATTTTCTTATTGGTAAAATAGATTTCAGAGTAATTATTTCATAGCGTTGTTATGAAAATTACCTCATTCAGTAGAAGCAGCTATTTTCTCTTGAGATTATTATAAATTACCTAATCACTCCACTGGTGGTAGCTGTACCTGAGTATTTAGTACTTTTTGCCTTACTAAATTTTCTTTTTTCCTGGGTGTGCAAGAGCTGTAGATAGTGTCATGATGAATGTGTATCTCAGGTTTGTTACAAAAGTGATAAATACATTCATTAAAAACATTTCAAACCATAGGGATTTATTTTAAATGAAAAGTTAAATTTTTGCCTCCTGCCTCCCAGTGCCCTATTGAGGAGATAAGTACCCCTAAAGGTTTGTGGGGTACTGGGATTGATACGGTGGCTGCAATGATGAGCTCAAGTATAGCAGGGATTGTGGGGCTGGCGCGGGATCGGGCAGTGTTTCGTTCTGCTGTGCATGGGGTCGCTATGAGTCGGAAACGACTCGACGGCACTTAACAACAACAACAACAAAGGTTTGTATATTCTGGAGAGCACTCCACATTGGCACATATAGGCCTACCTCATTCTCGATGGCTGCATATTCCGTTGTATGGATATATCATAATGCATTTTACTGTTGTGTGTTGCTGTTATGTGCCATCGAGTCGGACCCGACTCATAGTGACCCCTCCTTGGGTTTCCGAGGCAGTATCGCTACGGAAGTAGATTGCCCCATCTTCCTTCCAAGGAATGTCTGGTGGGTTTGAACTGTCAGCCTTCTAGTTAGCAGTCAAGTGCCTTAGGCACTACGCCATCAGAGCTCCTTGTGCATTTTACTAGTGTCCTATTAATAAACATTCAGTTTGTTTTTAGGTCTTTGCTATAATAAAACACGCTAAAATAAACATCCTTCTACAATTACTTTTGTATTCTTAAGTGGGTATATCTTTCATACTAATTCCTAGCACTGGTTCTGTACCTTTACATTTTTTATAGGTATTGTCAAATTGGCCTTAAAGAGAGATAAACCAGTTTATTCTCCTATCACCAGTGTGGTGAAAAGTACTTACTTCCCAAAACTCTCGCCATCCTTGTGTTACTAAACTTCAAATTTTTTGCTATTCTAATAGGTGGTAAATAGGATTTTCTTGCTTCAATTGATATTTAATTTTAAGTGAGGTTTAACATCTTTCATCTGTGTATTCATCATTTTTCCTTCTGTGAATTGTTTGTCCACAACCATTGCCTATTTTTATTTCAATCCCCTTACTTATTTTCGTACCTCAGTTTAAATATATTTATGTGAAGAGGCACAGTTTTAAAGAATTTTTTTCATTTTTTTCTTTTTCAGGCATTTCATATTCTAGCATTGGGTTTACTAGAAGAGAAGCAACAACTTCAAAAAGCTCCTGAAGAAGAAGTGACATTTGACTTTTACCATAAGGCTTCGAGTATGTTTGAGTATTATTTGTCAGCAGTGTTAGTTTATTACCAATATTTAATCAAAACTTTAATTCTTATGTTTTTAATCTCTCGATCCTCAAGGTGTTGAAGTTGTCTTTTCCTAGCACTTTTAGTTTTAAACTACACAAATATATATATTTTTAAATCCCCTACCTACTGTGTGATCCCATTTTTTTGGCTACATAAAATGATGGCTTCTCAGTTTAATACCTTGCCTCAATATTATCAAAGTACAGCATCAGCCATAACTCACATGATCCATCTGTAGAAGTGAATAATGTGTCTGAGTTTAAAATGACTGCAGAGTCCAAATGAATATTAATGTCTTTTCTTCCAGGTTGAAAACAGTATAAAAGCACAGGATAGGTTTAGAAATGCTCCTGGTTAAGATCATTTTTTTTCAAAGCACATTTCAGGGACATTGATGATAACATCTATACTCAAGAGAAAAGCACCTCATTTTCTATTTATGTGCTGTGTTGTTTAAATATCTGAAGACATCATAAGTCTATCCCGTATTTCCATATTTTTGGCAGCTTTGTTTCTCTGTGCTTGTCAGTGAGCTGAGTGGAAGAAAAGTAGCAAATAGATAGATCATTAAGGGTAGCTTTCACTTAGCAATGCTGGTGGAAGATGTAGGAGGGAGACCTAATAAAGTTTTATCACATATCTTTTTAAATTTTGTACCTAGTGCTTCACATAATTGCACTCTTCCTTTGAAAAATTAATATAGTTAAAGGATTGATTAGCTAACCTTGATTATCTATGTGAATAACATTAACCAAAAATTATATTTTGCACATAATTAAGAAAGTCAATTGTGCAGTGTTTAAATGTTCGCCTGCTAACTGAAAGGTCAGTGGTTTGAACCCGCTAGGTGCTCTGTAGAAGAAAGATGTGGCAGTCTGCTTTCATAAAGATTACTGCCTTAGAAATCATATGGAACAATTCTGCTCTGTCCTATAGAGTTGCTGTGAGTTGGCAAAGACTTAATGGTAACAGTAACAGGTTTTATACATAATTATACAGATACATATTTATTTTTTGTATGTCATTTTTGTGTTTCAAAAAAGGATTGGGAAGTTCAGCCATGAATGCTCAGAATATACAAATGCTTTTAGAAAAGCTCAGAGGAGTTCCCCAGTTAGAAGGCCAGAAGGATATGATAACATGGATACTCCAGGTAAACCAAAAAAGTAATCTGATCCTATCTTGGCTTAAATACTTACGAATCCTCTCCTTGTCTCTAAAGAAAACTGCCATATTCTTCAATCATAAAGTCAATTAATGGATATTCATCTTCTTTGTTTTTTCTATTTCTGTGAAGGTTTTTTTTTTTTAATTAGGTAGGTTTTATTCATTCATGTCCTTATTCAACCAATATGTATTGAATGCCTAGTATGTGCTATGATCACTTTTAGCATCTGAACAAGACAGACAAGGAGATATGTTCTAGTTGAGGTATAGACAATAAACAGATAAGTAAGAAAATATCAGGATAATACAATAGATGATTAGAGGGTTACTTTAGTTGATTAATCAGAGGTGGTCTTTCAGGAGGTGACATTTGAGCTAAGACCAGAATGACATGGAGTCATTCTTATAGGAATCTGGAGGAGCATTCAAGGAAGAGAGAACAGAAGGTAGAGAACTCTAAGGTGACCAGAAAAAGACCAGTCTGTCTGAAATATATAATGGGGTGCGAGGGGGTGAATAGAGAAAGACAGGTGATGAAGATAGAAGGACAACCAGGGCCCAAATCAGGTAGGACTTTATAGGCCAAGGTAAAGTGTTTGGATTTTCTTTGGAGGGCAGAGGAAAACCATTGAAGGATTTTAATTAACACAGTCTGATCTATGTTTTTTAAAGATCACTCTGGCTAAATAACAAATGCTGGTGAGGATGTGGAGAGATTGGGACTCTCAGACACTGCTGGTAGGACTGTAAAATGATACACCCATGGTGGAAATCGGGATGACGATTCCTTAAAAAGTTGGAAATAGAAATACCATTTGATCCAGCAATCCCATTACTAGGTATATCCTAAAGAAGTGAGAGCCAGGACATGAATAGATATATGCATACCCGTGTTCATTGTAGCACTATTTACAATACCAAAGAAATGGAAGCAACCTAAGTGCCCATCAACAGAGGAATGCGTAACCAAACTGTGGTGCATACACAGAACACAACACTAAAAAATAACGTAGAATCTGTGAAACACTGCGTAATGTGGATCAACTTGGAGGACATTATGCTGAGTGAAATAAGCTAATCACAGAAAGACAAATGTATTAGTTCACTATTATAAAAATACATAGGTTCCTCATATTCTGAGGTGGTATGACTATGGAAGTGGATTGCCCAACCTTCCTTCCAAAGAGTGGCTGGTAGGTTGGAACCACCAGCCTTCTGGTTAGCTCTGGTGGCGTAGTGCCTAAGGCATTTGACTGCTAACCAGAAGGCTGGTGGTTCAAACCCACCAGGCACTCCTCAGAATGAAGATTGGGCAATCTACTTCTATGGTGATACTGCCTTGGAAACCCAAGGAGAGGTAGCTATGAGTCAGATCTGACTCGATGGCAGTGAGTTTTTGTGGGTTTTTTTTTTTTTTTAGTTATAAAAAGTCAAGAAAAGATTTCTATATGAAAGGAAACGTTGGTTACCAGAGATGGGAGGAGAGGGGTAGGAAAATTACTAGATAGGTTAAATTTATTTATTTAATATTTATAAAGATTATTAGTGGTTACCAGGGGTTGGAGGACAGGAGCTCTGGTGGCATAGTGCCTAAGGCATTTGACTGCTAACCAAAAGGTTGACAGTTCAAACCCACCAGCCACACTGTGGAAGGAAGATGGGCAATCTCTTTCCATAAAGATTTACCACCTCAGAAACCCAGTAGGGGTCACTATGATCAGAAATGACTCAATGGCAGTGAGTTTGATTTTGAGTTTAGGGGTCAGTGGAAGGGGAAACAGGGAAGCTTTTGTTTGCAGGACATTGAATTCATGCTAATGGTGGTGGGATATTTTGGAAGAGGATAGCAATAATGGTAGTACAACATGAAAAAAGTTACCAGTGTCCCTGAACTGTAAATGTGGAAGTTGTTATCTTGGTAAATGTCTTGGTGTATGTGTTTTCACCACAATAAAAGTGAAAGGAAAAAAAAAAAAAATCACTCTGGCTGCTATGTGATAAATGTCTTACAAGGGACAGAAGTGAAAGCAGGGAAACTTGTTAGAAAATTATTGCAATAATCTTGGTGAGAAATGAGCATGGCCTAGGCTAGCGTAAAGATGGCAAGAAGCTAGACTGATTCAGGTATACTTCGAAGGTAGAATCTACAAGACTTGCTGATAAATTTGGTAGAAAAGAAACAAAGAAACAAACTCACTGCCAAGGAGTTGACTCCGACTCATAGCAACCCCCATTGGATTTCCAAAGCTATAAATCTTTATGGAACTAGATTGCTTCATCTCCTTCCATGGAGTGGCTGGTGGGTCTGAACTGCCAGCCTTCTGGTTAGCAGTCAAATGCTTTAAGCACTGTGCCAACAGAACTCCTTCACACTTGATGAAAGAGATGAGAAAAATTCAAGTATCAAAAACGATTTTGAGATTGAACTAGTGGGTGGATGGCAGTGCCTTTGGGGAGAAGTGAATAAGGTGTAGAGAGAGTATTCAGGAATGTTAGTTTAATGGAACACCCTCTGAGTACAAACATGAAACCAGGGTCATGGTGCTTCCCTACTCACTGTGTTCTTTAAAATATTCTGACATTTTCAGTAGGTACTGTTTTGGTAATTAGAATATATGTAGTGATTATTTTTCTATATTCTTATCAGTTGGATTTTGTAGTACTGATTTGTACTTCAAGAAGTCAGCTGTTTTTACTACTCAATCAGAAAAACTCCTATTATTAAAGTTCCCCATGAAGTAGATTTTACGACTATTTAGTGTTTGTTAAATTTACCAATATAAAAATTTTAAAACATAAAACCAACACAGAACTACAAATGGATAATTATTCTACCTTTGTTAAGAAAGTAAATCAAGCTGTTATTTAGTCTAACATTCATATCCTGTACATATGACGTTATAAATTAGAGATTTATTTTTAATTATTAGAATACCCAAATTGATTACCAAAATATATGGAAAGCAGGTCTCTGCTCTTACAAACATTAATATGTTATCCCAACGCTTAATATAAAAGCTGTGTTGTAAGTGTTCCTTATAGGAGATTTGTCTGCATAAGATTTTGAAGTCCCTTCATAATACAAGTAACTTTTGTGGATGTCCCATTCTGTTGCTGAAATCTTGGTGTTTGTTTAAAAAAAAAAAATGAGGTAGATCTGTATAAGCTATTATGAAGAGCTCTTTCAATATATATGAATAAGTGAAAAAAGGAGGGATGAAACAATGTGTACTATATAGTAGGATTTCTTTTTATGAAAGTACATGTAAGCATGAATATGTATAAATATGATTATAAAGTTATGGTTGTATATCACAGGGCTTAGTGGGACTTGACAGTTATTCACGTTTATGTGTTTTACAAAAACAGAGGAAATTGATATATTGTGGAGCTCCAGAGGAAATACCATATTTCATTAATTTTTAAAATATGTTAATGTCTTTGAAATTAGGTTAAGTCTTAAAATCAATGGCTTCTCATAGTTTAACATATGTGTGTGTATGTGTACATATTTACATATCACTTTGTTTTTCTAAAAGAAATACTTATAATCTTTAACAGTAGTTGCTTTTTGGGGAGAGACTGAAAGCAGGGAGAGGGGTTTCACTTCTCCATTTTGTATCTTTGTTTTTACATTTCTTTGCTCTAAAAATGTTACTTTAAATTTTAAAAAATGTTTTAGCAGTGCAAAAACGGCAAGGAGGCCACATATTCTGACCTCCTCTAATCCCACAAGAGGAAGACAGGATTACCAGCAGTAACCCAAGGCCTATTACTGCAAGGCCAGACATGCTGCCTCCCTCCAGCCCTTTCACCAACCGTTCCTCCCAAACCCACCCCGTCTCTCCTGGGTTCGATAATTCGCTGCAGTGGCCACACAGAGCTCACAGATTATGGGATTTATTAGGGAAGCACCACAGGCTACAATTCAAGTTCCGGAAAAAAAAATGCTCAGTCTCTCTCCCAGCCCACGTCCCTCAGCCAACAGTCTCTCACAGTCTCTTTCCCAGCAGTGCTGGTCCCTCAGTGTCTCACTCGGTAATGCGTGTCTCTTGCGTCTCTTTCCCAGCAGTGCGTGTCTCAGGAGCCCGTGTCTCTTTCAGCAGCACGTCTTCCTCCACCAGCAGTCAGAGAGAGTTCTGCCTCTAGGAGGCCTCCTTTTGAGCCCGGCAGGGTGGTCAAACTAGCCAATCATAGCATCAGAACTTTAAGCACCCGAGAGAGAGTGGGCACCTCCCAGAACATTGTATTTTGCCACGCCCAACAGAAATACTCCACGTGGATAACATTTACAATCAGGAGCTCCTCAGTTGCTCATTCCACCACTGAGTTTACAATGACTTATGGGTAGAAAAGCCATACAAAGTAATTTATTAAACCGCAAGCAGAATGAACTCTAGACTAAGAAACATATTTTCCTTCTGGCAAATCAACAACAAGAGGCATTCTTCATTATTCCAGAGTATTTCAAACAGTTACCAAAATTAAGTTTGTTTTCCCTTTCTATGTTTTGAAGTTTTTCATTACAGTTTCATATATCAGAATATCTCCAGAAGTCTTTAAATGATGAGTTGTAGTTTTTTCTAGTGACACTTGTACTACCATTTGGTAAAGACTTTTCTTGCTGTCTGTCCATGAATTATCTGTTAGCCCTGAGTCTCATAGCTGTGGACTCAAAACAGCTGATTTGCTACCATCACCCTCCTCCTCTACTGAATGGCTAATCAACTAGGGAAGGTGTTTGTCACAGCCACAGGTTACTTTTTCTCCCATATATTGAAATAATTTAAAGTCAAAGATTTAATCTGGGGACATGATGACAAAATCAGATTAATGCGTTTTTCTCTTCCTGAGCATTTCATTTCAGATGTCCTCAGAGCATTTCATTTTCTCGTCACAGATGTTTGACATGGTCAAGCGATTGAGAGAAAAGTCTTGTTTACTTGTAGCAACTACATCAGGATCAGAATCTATAAGGAGTGATGAGGTAATAATAATATATAATAATGGTACTCATTTCCAATTTTGAACTTTACTGGCATTAAGAGCAGCTGCTTTTTGTTTCTAGGAGGCTGTTTGTTATAAAGTACATGAGATCTGTCTATTTCCTTTTCATTATGTTTATATATCACAGGGATTAGAGTATTTGACAGATAGTTATTTGCATTTATGTATTTTATAAAAGCAGAGGAAATTGAGGTGTAATAGCTTTTCATTGGGAAGGAAGGTTGGGCAATCCTACTTCCGTAGTGATACTGCCTCGGAAACCCAAGGAGGGGTCACTATGAGTTGGGTTTGACTCGACGGCACATAACAACAACAACAACATATTTCATTAATTTTTAAAATATTTTAATGTCTTTGAAATTGGATTATGTCTTAAAATAAATGGCTTCTCATAGTTTAATCAGCATTTTCTTTTAAATTTTTTACTGACAATAGTACAATAAAACTAGTAATATTTAGGTTATGAATTTCTATAATACAATGAATCAGATGTTTATGATTCTAATCATAAAATTATTACTTGTGGTTATTAACTGTCCTTACTGAAAGAAAATTCCTGAACTTAACTTAGAATAGAAATTTAAAAGGCACCACCAAATCCACCTGAATGATATTGTTAAAATTACCAGTCTTAACAGTGCATTTATGAGTAACTTAGACAGCAAGATGATTTAAATTTATTGTCAATGATTAAGTAGTTGACAGATGATTTTACATTTTGGTTTTATGTAATTTTACTTCTTAATGTACCTGCACTGAGTATAAACCCGTGAAAACCCATTGCCATTGAGTCTATTCTGACTCATAATGACCCTATAGGACAGAGTCGAATTGCCCCGTAGGGTTTCCGACACTGTAGAGCTTTACAGAAGCAGGCTGCCTCATCTTTTGCCTACAGAGTGCCTGGTGGGTTTGAATCACTGACCTTTTGGTTAGCAGCCAAATGCCTTAGACACTGGACCACCATGGCTGCTTGCAATGAATATAAAGACAGTTTATTAAGTATTTATTTGGCCTTTTACTTGATACTTTTGAAATAACTAAGTAAGCAGTTCCTTCTATCCTGTGATGGAGCCTGTAATGCTAATTTTGACTGGATTAGCATTATAGGCTAATGAAGTTTTATCAGATCTCATTCTAGGGAATTCTTAGTGAACAGTATATATAAATTTAATGGTCGATTTTGCCTGATTTTTGTGGTTTCTTAGATTACTCATGATAAAGAAAAAGCAGAACGTAAAAGAAAAGCAGAAGCTGCTAGGCTACATCGCCAGAAGATCATGGCTCAGATGTCTGCCTTACAGAAAAACTTCATTGAAACTCACAAACTCATGTATGACAATACATCAGAAATGCCCGGAAAAGAAGACTCCATTATGGAGGAAGAGAGGTAAAAGAAAGTAAAAACCCAAAATTAGCAACTCTTTGTTTTAGAGGAAAAATTAATCACTTTAAATCATGCTTTACAAAAAAATGTATTTTATAGTAAGAGAAGTTACCCTATTTTTAAGCTAGAAAAGTCAGAGTGAAGACTTTAAGGTACTTGTTCAATAAAATCTTATATTGATAAATGGTTTAATTACACAATAAAGTTATATTAGGGTCCTTTATGCACAAAAATATAAGGTAAGCATTCCTTTACTGACAATGTTGTTGTTGTTGTTATTTGCCATCGAGTCGGCCCCGACTCCTAGCAACCCTTCCTTGGGTTTCCAAGGCAGTTATCACTACGGAAGTAGGAATGCCCAACCTTCCTTCCGAGGAGTGGCTGGTGGGTTTGAACCGCCAGCCTCCTGGTTAGCAGTCAAGTGCCTTAGGCACTATGCTACCAGAGCTCCCTTACTGACAGTAGTATAGTAAAACTAGAAATTAATAAAAAGCTTTAAATAACACTCAACCTTCTAAATATTACATATTAGCAATATATTTTTAGAAAGTAGAGAAGAGATTATTATATATTTATCAAAATAAGAGCTAAGGTATACCCAGAGTCAATTAATGGCCTTAATGCTTTCATTATTAATTTTTATTGATTGATTGCCCACATAAGTAATTTCATTAATTTGTTCTCCTTTAAAACAATTCAAATAATGCAGTATGTCCTCTTTGACCATCTTCTGCATTCCCAATCTTTCCCCAGAGGTAACTATTATTATGAGCTTGGTGTGTATTCTAGACCTCTTTCTACATGTGTATGTAAAAAAATAATGAGGCTTGTTTTGTGTTTTTTAGCACTTTTTATTTTTTTAGGAATTTGCTTTCATTTAACTAGACATGTTGTTGTATAGCTTGTTTTTTACTCAATATCATAAATATTTTCATGTCGGTACATATGGATCTATAGTGTAGATTCTACCTTATTTTTTATGACTGCTGCATAATGTTCTGTGGTATTGATGTACAGTATTTTGTTTATCTTATTTTGGACATTTAGATTGTTTACAACTTTCCCTTATTACAGTGTATCAGTGAACATCTTTGTGCCTCCTTGTGTAGTTGTGCAAATAATTCTCAAGGGTGGAATCCAGTAAGTTGAAAGGTCTGGGTCACAATTATTAAAAATTTTAATAGCTATTGGCACTTTGCCTTCCAAAGTGGTTTTACCAATTTCTACTGTCAACAATGTTATGAGTGTACCTATTTCTCTCATTCTCACCAATACTCGATATTATCAGTACTTGAAGATATTGATTTTATGGAAATTACAAATTTGTGCCAACTGAATTTCCTTGATTACTAGTTAGGTTGAGCATATTTTAATGTGCTTGTTCACTCACCCTTGATATTTTATCTTCTGGGAATTGCCTGCAGTTATCCTTTTCTCATCTCTATTGAGTGCTTTGCTCTTATCTTACTAATATATGGAAGTCCTTCAGAGATAATGAATACTAAACTTTGTTACATGTTTTCCTGTTTTATCCTTATTAATTTTGGGGTTTAGTCATAGAGACGTTTTCAGTATTAATGAAGACAGGTTTACCTGTCCTATAGTTTTTACATTTTGTCTCATTTAAGAAGGCTTTTCCTATCCCAGAATCACAAATTAACGTCATATATTTTCCTCATATATTTGTGTTTTTGTTTCCAAAATTTTTGTTATAATTACATTAATAAATTTTCCTTTTAAAAATCAAAATGTGAACTAAACCTACACAAATGGCAGAAAACAAACTAGACAACTGAGAACTCCTAAAAATTAAACATTTATATACATCAAAAGACTTCAAGAGTAAAAAGAAAATCAGCAGACTGGGAAAAAAAATTGGGGGCAATTACATATCAGACAAGGAACTAATCTTTAAAATTTTTGTAAAATTTCAATACCTCAACAACAAAAAGACAAGCAACAAAAATCTCAATTCAAAAAATGTGTAGAGATTGTGAACAGACATTTAACCAAATAAAACTTCCAAACATAAGAAGAAATATTTGTGACCATTAGCCATTAGAGAGATGCAAATCAAAACAACGAGTTATCTCACCCAAGCATTAATAGGAAAGGTCAAAAAATCCAAAAACAACAATGCTGGTGAGGGTGTGGAGAGACTTAAACCGTTATATACTGCTGGTACAACTATAAAATGGTACAACCACTGTGGAAAATGGTATATGGCACTTCCTTAAAAAGCTGGAATTGGAAATACCATATGATGTAGCAGTCCTACTACTCGATATATATCCTAGAGAAATAAGACCTATGACAGGGATAGAATATGCACATGCATGTTGATCGCAGCTCTGTTCACAGCAGCAAAAAGGTGGAAACAACCTAAGTGCCCATCAACAGATGAATGGATAAAAAAGCTATAGAACATACACACAATGGAATATTATGCAACATTAAAGAATAATGATGAATCTGCGAAATACCTCGTAACATGGATACACCTGGAGGACATTATGCTGAGTAAAATTATTCAATCACAAAGGACAAATATTGTATTAGGCTACTATTACAAAAAGTCAAGAAAAAGGTTATACACAGAAACATTCTTTGAAGGTTACGGGGGGGGGTGGTTAGGGAGGATAAATCACTAACTAGTATAGACACATGTTAACATGGGTGAAAGGAAAGACAATATACAACAAAGGGGGGTCAGCACAAAATGATCAAGGCAAAGGAAGACACTGGGAGGAGCACAAGAGTTAAAAGTCAACACTATTACATACAGTTCCTGCAATAATAGTAATAATAATCTACAAGTGGATACATAGATAGATGTGCAAGCTGAACAGATGTGAGAAGGCAAATGGAACTACAACCATGAATATATATGTTTAACAGAGGCTATATGTGCTGCAGATATATCCATAAATGTAGTAGAGCGTACAGGGGGTAATGTTATGGAAACTTCTTAGCCTTAACTAAACATGTCAAAGGAATGAGTCACTGGGACTGGGGGCTCAGAACCACAGTCTTGGGGCACATCAGGGTCAATTTGCATAACATACTCCATAGCCTGCTTTGGTGAGTAGTAACTGGAGTCTTAAAAACTTGTGAGCAGCCATCTAAGGGCCAACTATTGATCTCTCCCCGTTTGAAGCAAAGAAGAGTGAAGGAAGTAAAACAGGCATGGAAATAATTAGTCCAGAGGACTAATGGACCATGTGAACCTCAGCCTCCACGACCCTGAGACCAAAAGAACTAGATAGATGGTGTCCAGCTACCACAACCAACCACTCTGAAAGAGATCACCATAGAATAGAAAAGAAAGACGAATGAAACAGGAAACACAGGGAGGAAGTAAGAAGAGTGTTGTTACATTGGGGGGATTGCAGTTAGTGTCATGAAACAAAATGTGTATGAATTGTTGACAAGAAACCCAATATCTCTATAAACTTAGAGCCAAATCACAATAAAAACCTTAAAAAATAAATAATACATGTTAGAGATAAATCTAAGTTTCCTTTGAACACTACCCCAAATTCTGGACCCCTTTTTGCTCTTTCTCAGAAGTACTCTTTATAGCTGTTGTATATATCTTGTAAGAATATTTACTGTGGTATTACATGTAGATGTACATAACAACAGAAATTAAATAGTGTAACTCAGCCTTTTGTTTCATTTTGTAAAAGTAGTACTATATATATATGCATCATTCTGCAAGTTTTCATTTTCACTTCGTAGTGTACCTTAGAAATCTGCATATATATTGTTATATGAAAAGCTAGCTCAATATTTCCTTTAATAAGAGCTCTTTTGTCATTTGGGCAGCACAGCTCTTTTTCATGCAGTACTGTCCCATGAATTACAGGACACTTAACACTCAGTAAATTCCAGCAGTAACTCCTATTTGTTATTACAACCAAAAGATGAATAAATAAAACTTCCCCACATATGGCTAGATATATAGGAGATGGTACCATGCCTGAGACTCACCCTTTAAAGCTGCATAGTATTCCTTTCTATGTATGTTGGTTTTCATTGATTATGAACATATAAGTTATTTTCAGTTTGTTGAATGATCCTACAGTAAGTATTTCAGGGAGCTTCTTGTTCAGAGAGGCAACATTGCAGAATAGTTAAAAACATGGCTTGTGAGGCCAAATCATCTGAGTGCAGTCCTGGCTCTGCCGCTTACGAGTTACTGGTTAAAAGACTGTCTCTGAACTTCAGTTTCTTCCACTGAAAATGGAGGTAATAATAGTACCTACCTCATAAGATTGTTGTGAGGATTAAGTGAGTTTACATAACATAAAGTATTTAGAGGAATGTCTAGCATCATAATCAATACTTAGAGATGTTTGCTCTTATTATATTACTACTATTATACAAATTGAGTAGATCCTAAGAATTGCTAAGTCATTAATGTAGAAGTTTTTTTTAAGTTTTGATAGCTACCAAAGTAGAATACAAACCTAAATGCTTAAATATAAGAAATGGGCCAAACTACATACTGTGCAACTATTTAAAAATAATGTTTGTGAAGTAATTTTAATGACATGAGGAAATAGCTAAGATATAGTGAATAAAGCAGGATACAAATCTGTATATGTAATAAGATCTTAATTATGTAAAAAAGAAAGTGTGGTAAAATAGCCAACTGGAAGAAAATATATAATAGGATTTATTAGTGATTGTGAGAGTATGTGAGAGAAAGATGAGGCAGTCTGCTTTCTTAAAGATTTACAGCCTTAGAAACTCTATGGGGCAGTTCCACTCCATCCTATAAGATTGCTGTGAGTCAAAATTGATTTGATGGCAGTGGGTTTTGGGCGTGGGAATATAATGCTTTTTATAGTCATCTAGATTTTCTAAAATTTTTTCAGTAAGCATATCTATTTTTTCATACTCAAAAAACAGACAACTCAGCTTCTTGGTACAATGAATTAAATATAAATAAATATACATTCTATTTTGTGGCCTGCATATTTTGTACCTAATGTGTTTCCTAGTAAGGAGCTCTTGTGGTACCGTGGCTAAGGCATTAGGCTGCTAACCAAAAGGTTGGCACTTGGAACCCACCAGCCCCTCCATAGGAGAAAGATAAGGCAGTCAGTTTTTTTAAAGCTTGATAGCCTTAGGAACCCTATGGGGCAGTTCTACTCTGTTTTGTAGGGTCACTGTGAGTTGAAATTGACTCAGTAGCAGTAGATTTTGGTTTGGTGCTTCCTAGTAAGCAAATCAGTTAATAAAAAGCTAGAAAGGTCAAGGGGAAGATTTTAAACTAATATTGCTAAATATCATTTTTTATTTTATTTTCATTTTTTAAAGTTCTTGCCCTATAGTTACTTAAATCTACATATAAGCAAGTGACCAAAAACATGTGTCCTCATTTCTGGTCGTTTCTTTTGGTAGCACCCCAGCAGTCAGTGACTACTCTAGAATTGCTTTGGGTCCTAAACGGGGTCCGTCTGTTACTGAAAAGGAGGTGCTGACATGCATCCTCTGCCAAGAAGAACAGGAGGTGAAAATAGAAAATAATGCCATGGTATTATCGGCCTGTGTCCAGAAATCTACCGCCTTAACCCAACACAGGGGAAAACCCATAGAACTCTCAGGGGGTATGTATTGATTAATAAATATCCTTTTGAGCATTTTTTCATACTTATATAATTAGAAAAAAAGTACAGTTTGAAAGAAGTTTGGGAATGAGGTTGTATGTAGTCATATTTGCTCAGATCACAATATACCCATATGTAAAATGGACTTGAGGTTTTTACATGCCATGTTGGCTGCTTTGTTTTATTTTTTTATTACTTGGCCACGTTGCTTGTTCTGTCTGTCTATTTATCTGTCCATCTCCATTTCTTTTTGCTGAACCATTTAGAAGTACATTGCAGGCATCATGACATTCCATCCCTAAATATATCAATATTCATTTTCTAAAAATACCGGTAATCTTTTCTGTATTTACCATACCATTATCAAATTTAAGACAATAATCATTCAAGAATATCATCTAGTATAAAATCCATATTCAAATTTCCTCATATGTCCCCAAAATGTCTTTTATATCTAGTTTTTTTTTCCCCCCATTCAGAATTGAAACAAGTTTCATGTATTACTTTTGGTGGTTACATCTCTTTCAGTGAATTTTAGCCTAGAACAGTCTCTTGCTTTTTTTGTTGTTTGTTTTTCATATTAATAACTTTTCTAAGGAATACAGGTCAGGTGTACTATGTTTCACATTGTGGACTAGTCTAATTGTTGCCTCATAATTAGATTCATGTCAAGCATTTCTGTGGCAAAAGTACTAACTAGGTAATGTGTTATACGTCTTATATCATGCCAGGAGTTAGCTGCTTTATTTTTAAAATGCACTTGGAATAACAATAATATTAATAAGAACTAGCTTTTATATATGTTTAACCATGTGCCAGATACTGATTAAGTGCTTTATGTGTATTTACTCACTTAATCCTCACAACAACCCTATGGGTTAGCTATCAATATTAGCTCCATTTTACAGATGATGGAACTGATGGACAATGAAGTTAAATTACTTGCCCGACCAAGGCCACAAGGTATAATTGGTGAAACCAGAATTTGAACCCCGAGTCAGGTCTGACTCGATGGCACATAACAACAACAAAAAAGTCTGTATTCCTATCCATTAGGTTATACTCCTTCAAATTATCATTCTTTAACTCTTAAAATTACAAGAGTAAATTGTGATTGAATCTTTGAAAACCACTTCAACAACCAAGATAATGTAGTTAAAACTTACTTTTCAAAATAGAAGTTTTAGTCAAAGATAGAAGTTGTCATTAATTAGTACTAATTTTAGAACCATGTCTGAGAGTGTAGCTTTATATTTTCCTCTTTTAACTTATTATTCAGAATAAATATTCTGCTATCATATTGTGACACTCTTCTTGAACATTCCTAAGAAAGTTTAGACCAGGTAAACCTTTTTTATGTTTTTTCTTTTTATGACTGTGGGAAAGATGAATACATGCCTCTTTTTTTTTGTCTAGAAACCTTAGACCCACTTTTCATGCATCCAGACTTGGCGTATGGAACGTATACAGGAAGTTGTGGTCATGTAATGCATGCAGTATGCTGGCAGAAGTAAGTTGTCCTTATAACATACTCTTGAAAGAAACTAGGAACACTTAAAAGCCACACAAGGGCTTGTTTTCTCATGTCTTCTTCCTTCTTACTTGAAAAATTGAAGCAGTTTTATTACTAAATCTCTGCAGTATATGGAATTCCTGGGTGTTACAAATGGTCTGTGTGCTCATTTGCTAACTGAAAGGTTGGAAGTGTGAGTCCACCTAGGGGTGCTTCAGAAGGAAGGCTGACAATCTACTTCTGAAAAATCAGCCATTTATAATTCTGTGGAGCACAGCTCTACTGTGACACACATGGCGTTGTCATGAGTCAGAATCAAGGTGACGGCAGCTGGTTGTATGGTACACATTATTATTAGCTTTAGAAGTTGGTGGGCAAAGTTATTAACATTTTCATTATTCCATTATATTCCCCTTTAAAATCTAGTTCTACTTGCTCAGTATCTATTTAAAAGAGGCAGTAATTTTTATAAAAAGCTTATTCCCCTCACGTCATACCTTTGAGATAGAACAGGAAAAGAAATTCCAGTTCTACCTCTGGAAGAAATAAAAATTCAGAAATGTAATTCTTAAGATATCTTTTATATAGAGTTTTACCTTTTGGCATTAGATTAAAATGTATACTTTTCCTACAGTAGCCCCCACTACTTAAGTTGGTCCTGGAAAACTGAGGGAAGTAATGTCTATATTGTATCTCCATTTTGTTGAGGCAGAGGAAGAATTGTGATCCAGTAAAATCATTTTAAATTTTTATGTGCCTGATAAATCTTTCATTTTGCCTTTAAAAGAATGGGCAGCCTGTTTCTTCCATAATAGTTATAACTTAAATATTTCTTAACTGTAGGTTCTAGAGATATTTTCATTTGGATTAGAGCAAAGATATATATACAATACAGAATGGACTTTGGTGTTATTGGGATTTTTTTTAACTTTTTATTAATTCTGCAGATATTTTGAAGCTGTACAGCTGAGCTCACAGCAGCGCATTCATGTTGACCTTTTTGACTTAGAGAATGGAGAATACCTTTGCCCTCTTTGCAAGTCTCTCTGTAATACTGTGATTCCAATTATTCCTTTGCAACCTCAAAAGATAAACAGGTATATTTCCACTTATGCTTTTATTACTTTGTGAAAATCTGCCTTTAATCCTTTCATTCCTTCCTGTTTTGGTTAAATTACTAGTTTCTTTTTTGCTATTTAAAGTAATTAATATGTTTTCACTTTGTAACTTGTGTCATCCTTCAAAAAAACATGATTAAAAGTCCCAAATGCCAGTCTCTAGAAGGACTGGAATTTTCACTTAGATGAATATTTGCACGTGAATCTTCCAGTAGCCATTTAAAGCAATAGAACTGTAATCTGTTCACAGAAGGAGAAAAAATATGAAGTAGACTCATTCCTTTCTTACAACCTTTTTCTACCATCAGACCAGAGTTGCTGTTTGGAGTTAGGTCTTAAAGTCTTTATACTTTTAAAATTATATTATTTTTCCAGAGATACACTGCTGTAGTTTTGAGAGACATTGACAAAATATTAACTATAAAATAGAAACACTAGACTCTTTTTATATCTTTGAATAGTTTTTGAATATTTAGAACTTTTTTATATTCTGACCATCTGTAAATGAATTTAATAGCAAATTAGTTTTATTTATTGTTTTTTTAGGACAAAGAACACACAATTGTATATAGCTGTGATATCATTTATTATGGTTATTATTATTTCAGTTTCTTTAAAACTAAATGATTTTTTTTCTAAAAAAGGACCAGGTTTGCTGGTCTGATAGAGCCTGATGGAACTACTGAGACTATAGCCCCTAGTTCCCCTTTAGGTCTGGAATTGAATCCACTCCTGTGGCTTCCAGCCAAAAAAAGACAGACATATCAGCTGAACATTTACAATAGGTAGACATACTCCTTGGAAAGATTAGTCATGGGAGAAAAGAAGGGCTTTGTATACACAGGGAGACAGATTGGGGGGCTGGAGTACATGGGAGGAAAGGACACAGGGAAGAGGTAACTGTGGGGAGGAAGTGAGAGGGGAGCTATTGCATTATGGTAAATTGTAGTCAATGTCATGAGACAAAGTGTATGTGAGCTGCTGTATGGAAAGTGAATTTGCTCTGTAAACTTTCACCCAAATCACAATACAAAATTTAAAAAAGAAAAAAAAACTAAATGAATTTATGATAGGCCTAAGTTCTCCTAAAGAAAATTATTTTGTTGATAAAAACACTTACATGCCCCTATAACGATAGGTTTGACAAAAGTTGGTATGGTTGCTGTGCTTCTGCTATTCCATGTCATTGAAAAAACCTTAATTTGAAAATTGTCGTATATTCAGCATATTGGGGCATAAAATGTCATCTTACAGAAAGAAGGTATAGCTTACTTTATTGAGTAATTAGTATGTTCTAGGTTCTGCACTTGCCTCATCATACTTAATCCTCACAATATTTTACTGAAGTAAGTACTGTTATTCCTATTTTAAGATAAGGAAATAGAGGCTATGCATAGTTTTCACTTGCCTCAAGATGTCCCCAGGATTTAAATACAACCTTGACTCCAAAGCCTCACCTAATTATACACAGAAGACAAAGAAAAATAAATCATAATTCAATAAAATGACTTCAACTTATTAGTCTTTTTAACACAGTGGTTCCCCCAAAAAAGGGATGATTAAACATATGATTTATTCTCTAAGGGAATATGCAGCAGCATCTTTTCTAATGAGATTAAGAATTGGATACTTAAGGGTAATCCTTTCTGAAGTCAGAAAGTTGATCCATAAGACTGAGTGTCTAAGAACCCTGGGACACTTTCATAGTAACAATTTGTAGTTACTCAGGATCTGAAATACATAATTATATATGGTACTTTGTTAGGCACTTTAACGTATCTGGATAGTTGAAAATGAATATATATATATGTATATATTTGTCTTCCTTTCTTAAGAAAATAAACATAATCTAAGATGTTAAAGTTAAGAGTATATAAAATTTCATCAAAATTAATAAGCTTGTATTTTTTATGAGAATATTGGTCATAATCAATCATTGTTGTTGTTGTTGTTGTTGTTATGTGCCATCAAGTCGGACCCGACTCATAGCAACCCCTCCTTGGGTTTCCGAAGCGGTATCACTACGGAAGTAGTTTGCCCAACCTTCCTTCTGAGGAGTGGCTGGTGGGTTTGAACCTCCAGCCTTCTGGTTAGCAGTCAAGTGCCTTAGGCACTACACTACCAAAGCTCCCATTTTAACTTTACTCAAGTCTTTCTTACAGTTTTTTTCGTTCCCTTGGTCTTTAATCAAGTCTCTACTCTTATAGAATGTACCTTCCAGGGTGAGAAGACCAAATATAAACAAATGCAAAGTATTGAGTGGTGAAAAAGACTATGAAAAAATTAAAGCAGTAGAGCAAAGGACTAGAGACCCACCAGGGGCACAAGGCAATTTATAGACAGCGTGGTCAGGCAGGCCATCTCTGAGGGGTAACATTAGAGCAGAGACCTAAATGAAGTGGGGGATAAGCAGCACTCTCTGGAGGAAGATAAGCACAGGCAATATCAAAAGCAAAGACCTTGAAGTAGGAACACAGTTAGTATTTGAGGCACCGCAAGAAGGCAGGATGACTGGAATGGTGCAAACAAGGGGCCAGGTGATAGGAGATGAAGTTGGAGATAGCAGTAGAGCCAGCTCATAGAAGGGTTTGTGGGCTAAGATTAGGAGTTAGAGTTTTTATTTTATGTATAATGGGAAAACATTGGAATGTTTTGAATGGAGAGACATATGATTTGACTTACATTTTAAAAAGATCATTCTGGCTACTGTATGATGAATACATAGATAATAATGAAATACAGGCATAGAAGCTGGACAATTGAAGTAGTCCACATGAGGGATGAAATGACTTGGACTGTAGTAATAGTGTAGAAGTTGAAAGAAATGGTCAACTTGGGATCTATTTAGAAGATAAAACATGCAAGACTAACTGATAGATTAGAATATAGGGTATGAGGGAATCAGAGAAGTCATTACTGGTTTTTACTTGAGCACCTAGAATGGTGATTCCATTTACTGGCATGAGTTGCTTATAGAGGATGGGCATATGGGTGATATATTACTCCTTGTACCTTTGTATAACTTTTAAATTGCCTTCCCCTAGAAAGTTAAATCTAGAGGCATTTAATTTTTTATACAGCTATGTATCCAAGGAAAGACTTTACCAGTTCAGCTTTTCAGACTTTCTGCCAATGGCCTTAATAATTTTTGAATATCATTTTTCAGTGAGAATGCAGAAGCTCTTGCTCAAGTTTTGACCCTGGCACGTTGGATACAGACTGTTCTGGCCAGAATATCAGGTTATAATAGGAAACACGCTAAAGGTTTGCTTAAATTTATTTTATTTGTAACTGTGTGAAAATTAATGTTAGAATCTTTTGTTTTCTTTTAGAAAAAGTGCTTATAATCCTAAAATGTAGCTTGCAAGTAGATTTGTTGATTTTCAAGAAAATAGAGGTTTTTGAAGCAAAGACTAGGTTTAGCTTATTTCACTTTACTCTGTTTAGTCATTTTTTATACGGGGAAGCAGTATGTAACCTCAATTACTCTGTAGTCAGACTGCTTGGATTTAAATTTTAGATCTACCACTTAGTGACTTTGTGATCTTAGACAAGCCACTTAACCTCTCTGTGCCTCAACTTCCTTATTTGCAAAGTGGGGATAATAATAGGACCTATCTCATCTATTTTTTAGTTATTATATATAAAATATTTAGAACAATGCATGATATGTTGTAAGTGCTGTATACATATTAGCTATTAGTGTTATTTTACTAATATTCTTAATATTATAGCATTAATATTCACTCACTGCTGTTGAGTCAATTCCGACTCAGAGGGATCCCTCCTTGGGTTTCCAAGGCTGTATCTCTATGGAAGCAGATTGCCCAGTCTTCCTTCTGAGGAGTGGCTGGTGGGTTTGAACCACCAGCTTTCCAGTTAGCAGTCAAATGCTTTAGGCACTACACCATTAGAGCTTAAGCCATTAATATTAGTAATAACAAAATATCATTTTTAAAGCTGTTTAACCTTATTTATATATTTTTAAAATTGAGAGGTAATTATGGCTATTAATGAAAGATGAGATTGATGAAAGAAAAAGGACTTTTAAAAAATTTGGTAACACGATCATTAGCCATTTTTGTTGTTGTTTGTTGTTGTGTTTGCCATCGAGTTGGATCTAACACATAGCAACCCCTCCTTGGGTTTCCAAGGCATTATCACTATGAAGTAGATTGCTCAACCTTCCTTCCAAGGAGTGGCTGGTGAGTTTGAACCGCTAGCCTTCTGGTTAGAGAGATGCAAATCATAACAACAATGAGATACCATCTTGCCCCAACACTAATAGCAAAGTTCAATAAGACAGAAAATAACAAATGCTGTCAAGGATGCAGAGAGATTGGGACTCTTATACACTGCTGGTTGTACTGTAAAATGATACAACCACTATAGAAAGCAGCGTGGCGATTCCTTAAAAAGTTGGACTTAGAATTAGCATTTGACCCAGCCATTCCATTATTAGGTATATATCCTAAAGAAGTGAGAGCCAGGACAAGAACAGATATAGGCACACCATTGACAATAGCCAAAAGATGGAAACAACCTATGTGCCCAACAAGAGAAGAATGGATAACCAGACTATGGTACATACACACAATGGAATACTATGCAACCCTAGACAATAATGTAGAATCTGCGAAAAACCACATAACATGGATGAGCTTGGAGGACATCATCCTGAGTGAAATAAGTCGGTCACAGAAGGACAAATATTGTATTAGTCCATTATTGTAAAAAGTGAGGGAAAGATTTATATATGGAAGGAAATTTTCTTTGTTGGTTACCAAGAGTGGGAGGGGAGAGGAGGGAACACTGTTAGGTAGAGACACGTATTGATTTGGCTTAAGAGAAGGACAAGGTACCAAATGTGAGTGGTCAGCATTGCGACATTGAGGAGGAGGAAGACAGATGTGTGGAAGGTACGGACAACAAAGATGAGCCCTTTTGCACATATAGTACTGCATTGTCAGTGAAGGCAAACATTGATACACAGATAGATAGATAGATGTGTGGACAGACTGAACTATTAGTTATATCTATGCAGGGAGGAGTATGCCCATGACGATGTGTAGGGTTGGAAGACAATGTTTCTACAAGTGTCTTTGTATGTTCTGTAAGAATCCCCAGGTATATAGTAGAGCTGACAAGGGAGGTTGTAGTCACTTCTTAGCCACAGCCAGTTACCTAGAGGAAGTAAGTAGTTGGACCTATGGGCTCAGGACTATAGTCGCAGGGGATATCAAGCTGAAATGGCATAACATACTACACAAAAACATTGTTCTGCATCCTACTTTGGCAAGTAGTGACTGGGATCTTAAAAGCTTGCAAGTGGCCATCTCGATGCAGTGATGGTTCTCTCCTCATCCAGAACGAAGAACAATGAAGAAAACCAAAGACACATGGAAACAATTAGTCCAAGGAACTGGTACACCATGTGATCCTCAGCCTATACAACTATGAGACCAGAAGAACTAGATGGTGCCTGGCTACCACTGTCAACCACTTGGAGGGAGTTCTAAGTAGGAGATCCTGGATAGAATGGAAGAACAGTGTGAAATAAAACTCAAAATCATTTGGGGGCGAAAAAAAAGGGACCAGGTTTGCTGGTCTGATAGAGCCTAATGGAACTGCTGAGACTATGGCCCTTAGCTCCCCTTGAGGTCTGGAATTGAACCCACACCTGTGGCTTCCAGCCAAACAAAAGACAGGCATATCAGCTGAACATTTATATTAGGTAGACACACTCCTTGGAGAGATGAGTCATGGGAGAAGAGAAGGGCTGTGTATGTACAGTGAGACAGCTTTGGGGGCAGGAGTGCATGGGAGGGAAGGACACAGGGAAGAGGTAACTATGGGGAGGAAGTGGGAGGGGAGCTTTTGCATCATGGGAAATTGCAGTCAATGTCATGAGACAAAGTGTATGTGACCTGCTGTATGGAAAGTGAATTTGCTCTATAAACTTTCACCCAAATCACAATAAAAATTAAAAAAAAAATTTGGTGACAAAAACATTCTTTGTGAGATTAAAGTACGATACAGGTCTCCCCCACTATCCAAAAGTAAAGTGTTCCTAGGAACCTTTTGTAAGCTGAAATGACATAAAGCAAAGAAGTAATAATCCCAATTAATTCATATGGGATAAATTTTTGAGCATTCCCAGACCCAAAAAATAACCTACCAAATCATACCAAATAATACATAAAACCTAATATAATATTAACATGTAGTGTTCACAGACACAGTTCAAAGCTATGATGGCTTGATACTGAATGTAGTTCCCAGGGAAACAGCTTGGCAATGCCACTCTGTGGCCTCTCACTGCTTGGAGAGCACACTGGCTCTTTAATGGCTCACTGCAAAGCAAACACTGAATGCTTGTTTTCCTTTTCACTTTTTTTTGTAAAAGGATAAATGCTCTTTGGATTTCTTTTGTTTAGTGAAAACAGGTACTAATGTGGGTGCTTCATAAAAATGAAGTGGTGTAAAGCGAACTTCGGCAAAGTGGGAGATACCTGTATTTAAAAAGTAATCATAGCTCTCATATTATTCCCTCACTGGATCTAAAATTGGCAAAAACTATACCAAACCCAAAAACCAAGTCCAAGTTGTTATTCACAACTTTCCATAACTTTGCCCCGTGTTCTCTACTTTTTCCTAGTAAGTATCCTTGATTTAGGTGGGCCAGCCATTTCAGTGTGTCTGAAAATGTCATGCTCATTCTTCTCTAAAAACAGTTTTTTTTTTTTTTCCCTCTACCTGAATGTTCTCTTTACCCCTGCTACCACAGATTTGGTCTAAGACTGAATAAAATACCACCTTCTTCTTGATGCCTTCCTCTACTACTTCAGCCTCTACTGATAAATTCCTTCTCTAAAATCCTATGAGGCATATTATTTTGAATTGTAAAGATCTGGTTACTAATGCCATTTCCTCTTTACAAAGTAACGTGCAAATTTGTGAGGTCATCAAGGCAGGGAACAAAAGCCTTATACAGTGCTGATTGTATGGGAAAACATTTAATAAATACTTGATTATTTGAGTTGAGTATGGTGATGAAAAATAAAACTATCATCCCTATATTTTCTCTGTAGCTGTTACATATACCTTTTGTTTTTCTTAAACATGTAAGACTGAAAGAACATAAATGATTAAAGTATGGCACATGGTAAAATTATCAGGAAAAATGTGGATAAATATAGAAAAGTACTGGTGGTAGGAATAAGACACAAATATTTTGAGTAGAATATCCTAAAAAATAATTTGGAATATTTCCTGGGTATAGTTTTAGTCAGGAGCTCTGATGGTACACTGGTTAAAGCATTAAACTACTAACCCAAAGATCAGAAGCTGCTCTGCAGGAGAAAAAATGAGGCAGTCTGCTTCTGTAAAGATTTGCAGCCTTAGACACCCTATGGGGTAGTTCTGCTGTGTGATATGGAGTTGCTATGAGTCAGAATCAACTCGATGGCAGTGGGTATATATATCAGAATGGAGCTGAGGAGGAAAGAGTCAGTGAATTTGAAATTAAATCCATGGAAGTTATCTAAAAAGCAGAGAGAAAAAAAAAGATTCAAGGAGAAAAAAGAAAGAAAAAAATGGCTTTAAGGACCAGTGGGACAATATTTTTTTAAAAAAATCCAACATTGTGTCCTTTAAGTCCCAAAAAGAGAAGAAAAAGAATGGTGCAGAAAAATATTTGAAGAAGTAATAGCTGAAAACACCCCAAATTTGGCAAAAGCAATAAATTTACATATTAAAGTTTAGTGAATTTCAAATAGATAACTCAAGGAAACCATACCAGAACCATCATAATCAAATTGCTGAAAATCAAAGATAAAAAAAAATATTGACAGTAGTTAAAAAAAAACCCGAAACATAACAAATCATATTTCATATAGGAGAACAGCAGTTTGAATTCAGTGAAGAAATGAAACCACAGAAAGGTTTGGTACTTACCCAAGGTCTTCATAACAGTAAGTGGCAGAAGTAATATTCAAACCCAGGCTGCTTCGTTTCAGATCCTTTACTCCTAATCACTAATATATTCTGCATAACTAATAAAATATGATATAGTCACTAAAATTGGAAATATTGAAGATTTATTGACATGGAAGGACATTTGTGATGTACTAGGTGAAAAAGCGGGAGCTCTGGTAGCATAGTGGCTAAGACACTTGCCTGCTAACCAGACGGCTGGCGGTTCAAACCCACCAGCCACTCCTCGGAAGGAAGGTTGGGCAATCCTACTTCCGTAGTGATACTGCCTAGGAAACCCAAGGAGGGGTCGCTATGAGTTGGGGCCGACTCGACGGCACATAACAACAACAACAAGGTGAAAAAGCAAGGAGCTCTGGTGGCTCTGTAGTAAAAGGTCAGTGGTTTGAACCTACCAGCTGTTCCACAGGAGAAAGATGAGGCAATCTGGTTCCATAAAGATTTACAGCCTTAGAAACACTCTGGGGGTCACTGTGAATCAAAATCAACTCAGTGGCAGTGGGTTTTTGGGTTTAGGTGAAAGCGCATAGTATATAGAATGTTGTTGTTATGTGCCATCAAGTCAGAACCCGACTCATAGCGACCCCTCCTTGGGTTTCCAAAGCAGTAACATTACAGAAGTAGATTGCCCAACCTTCGTTCTGAAGAGTGGCTGGGGGGGTTGAACCTCCAGCCTTCTGATTAGCAGTCAAGTGCCTTAGGCACTATGCTACCAGAGCTCCCGGTATATAGAATAGTACTACATATATGATACTGTCGTTTTTTTTAAAAAAAAGATAATATGAAACATTTATATAGAGAACAGAAGAGTAACACCCAGATTTTATCTGTGATTATCTAGATGGAGATACTTGTTTGGTTGTTTTTTGTTTATTTTTCTACAATGATCATATATCATCTAATTTTAAAAAATAAGAAAACTGTAGGATTAAAAAATATTCACGAGTTTTCTTTTTCCTTTTAATTTATAAGGAGAAAACCCAGCAATTCCTATCTTATTTACTCAAGGAATGGGAGATTCCACTTTTGAGTTCCATTCTATCCTGAGTTTTGGAGTTCAGTCCTTGTAAGTATCTAAATAGTTGAGAGAAATTTGTGAATGATTATGAAAATAAGAGTAGAGAACAATTATTCCTTCTTCTTTCCTCCTTCCCTCCTTTTTTTCAAGCCTTCTTTCCTCATTTATAAAATTGCTTCTGTATCCCCATTTTTCTATCTTGTTTCTTTCTTCCTGGAGTGTAATTTGTATTAATAAAATTAAATTGTTTTGTGATGTTGGAGTAATATGTATTTAAGTGAACCATAAGAAATGCTATATTTGACTGTTTTTAATCAACAGAAATGTCAGTTCTATATGGTCCAATCTAACAGGACCAGAATTTTTGAGACTTCAGTTAAAGTTACATCTAACTTGCTCTGTGACTTTTAAAAAGTCTCAGACCACCCCTCCCCCAAATTAAGTTTCCTTGTATATAAAATGGAGGCAGTGGACTCCTAACCTACCTATAAGGTTATTGGAAAAATATTTTGATAATATGAAGACACTTTGAACAATGTAGTATATTTATTTCAGTATATTTATGTAGTATAATTATTTCATGAATACTATCTGGCGTACATTTTTCTAGATGTGATCCTTGTTAGGTTATCTATCCCATTGTTACTGAGAATACTTGTTACTAATGAAAGTTCAGAAAATCAGAAATCATCATTCCAAGTATATGGTATCAAGACACAGACACACACCCTAACAACATGAAAGTACTGCTTGGTCCCTTTTCCAGACACCAGCATTTATTAGGTCAGATCTGTTTCTTTGCATTTCATTCCTTCTCTTGATTCTGCTCCTTAATTTAAAGCCAGCTGTAATTATCAACTACATTTTTTACAGAAAGTGAAGTTATATGAGCTATTACCATTTCTAAGAGATATTTTTCTACCTATAGAAATATAATTCTGCTTTTTTCTTTTTTTTTTAATTGAATAACTCTTCAGAGACTCTAATTTGACAAAGAGCAATTTATATATGTCAGGAGTTAAATTGTTTCTGTTGTTTCAATACCTAATTTGACTTTTCAGTGATAGCCCCTTTAATAAATCACATATATGTTTTTCTTATTTTATTTTCAGGCTCAAATATTCTAATAGCATCAAGGAAATGGTCATTCTCTTTGCCACAACAATTTTTAGAATTGGACTGAAAGTGCCTCCTGATGAAACTGATTCTCGAATCCCCATGATGACCTGGAGCACATGTGCTTTTACTCTCCAGGCAATTGGTAAAGCCTATAAAAGGACTGGTTTGGAAGGGTCCTAGAAAAAGAATTAACATTGATTGACCTTAAATTTATAACAGTTTTTTTTTCTGATGGCTCAGAATGGTTTGTTAAAAGATAAATTAGTATTTCAGTATATTAGTGTAGCCTGGTGCCAATGTAAGATTTTTTAAAATATTGATCTCTTTTCAACTTTTTAAGGAGCTGTGGTGATGGAGTGGTTAAGGCATTCAGCTGCTAACCAAAAGGTCAGCGGTTCAAACCCACCAACTGTTGCACAGGAGAAAGATGGGGCAATTTGCTTCCATAAAGATTTATAGCCTTGGAAACCCTGTGGGGCAATAGGTTCTATAGGTTCTGTCCTGTAGGTTCACTATGCATTGGAATCAACTCTGTGGCAGTGGGTTTCAACTATTTAATGGTTGTATGCCACAGAAGGGAGCTCTGGTAGCATAGTGGCTAAGACACTTGACTGCTAACCAGAAGGCTGGCGGTCAAACCCACTAGCCACTCCTCGGAAGGAAGATGGGGCAATCTACTTCCATAGTGATACTGCCTTGGAAACCCAAGGAGGGATTGCTATGAGTCGGGTCTGACTCGACAGCACATAACAAGAACAACATGCCCAGAAACTAAAAATATTTGCATAGGATAGCATGAAGCAAGCTACAGTCAGAAGGTGGATTTACAACACTAAAGGATCAAGAAGGGGGGACATACAGAGTAAGAAGAATTAACCCAGAAATGTTTAGTAACTTTTATTTCTTTCATAATTAGAAAAAGTGAAGGAAATCAAACTCACTATATTTTATCATTTGAATGAAGTAGTATGAAGCCACCTCTATCCCAAAGCCTTCCTGCATACCAACGCTAGTTTCTATGAACAGATTTTAGGAGTCATTTCCATATTTTTTAGACTTAAATCATTGGTATAAGATTGTATACTGGTTTTTATTTTTTCTTAATCAAATAAGAAATAGGAAAAATAAATGTAAGTAGAATAAAATCTGAAGAAATTGATAAGAAATGTAAAGCACTCTCTTAGAGTCATGATCTGCTGAATCTCTTCAGATTTTCAATAAAATTATTTTATGCTTTAATATCTTTGGGAAGACAAATACTAGAAATCAGGATTTATATTCAGACCTTGAACATAAAAATGGATCACAGTTTTAAATTCACCAAAGGACTGAGTCTTGCTTTTCATATGTGGTCCAGTAACCTAATTGGATTCTACGTGACTAATACAGTGTTTTATTGTGTTCATTGTAGTGCTTTTTTTCTCATGCATAAGCAGCTAACTTTTACCTCATTCCTTGGGGGATGAAGAGACATTACAGGATGTATTGGCATAGGGTGATGGTTGAAGCATCAAACCAAAAGGGTCCTCTGTTACCCATTCAGAAAATGAAAAATAGGAAATAAGCCTTTCTTACTTATAGATATATTTGCTCCCAAGAATAAGTGAAAATAGCATAATTTAACAATAAAAACTCTGGCCAACAAGGCAAAATATATTTTAGAATCCATATATTTTTGGTGCCTTCAATTCATCTTTTTTTCTACTTTTGGTATAGTCTAATTTTTTTAAAATAATACCTATATTTCCTTTCCTCTGCCTTAAGTATTATTTTAAAACAAAATATGATTAAATATAAAAATTACATTTAAAACAAAATATTTTTTAAATTTGTGATTTGGGTGAGAGTTTACAGAATGAGTTGGTTTTCTATTCAACAAACTATACACATTGTTTTATGACATTTACTGCACTCCCCACACTTCAACAGCATTCTTTGCACTTCCTCCCTGCGCCCACTTTCATCCATCCATCTCATCCCCTCCTGCCTTCCTAGCCCTATTGCTGGGCATATGTGAAATATCTTGTAACATGGATGAACCTGAGGACATTATGCTGAGTGAAATTAGTCAATCACAAAAGGACAATTATTGTATGATACCACTACTGTACAAAGAAAAGATTTACACACAGAATCATTCTTTGAAGCTTACTGGGGGGAGGAGAAAGGAGGGAAAATCACCAACTACGGGGTAGATAGGTTTTTAAACATTTTTACATGGAAGAGATATGTTAAAAGGATTAAAAATGAATTAGGCTGCTTTCTTTTTTTCCCACATATTCATTATAGATAGCTTCAGGGATTTTATTACATATATCAGTAATTTGTAAATTATATGTATTTGTTTTCCTAATATTCTTTCACTCAAAAATTATAAAATTTTGGCATGAGACTTCAAAATGGAAAAATGTAAATCATATGCTCTATAATTTGTTAAAAGAAAACTGATGGAATTGGACTGGAATTCAAGATTCATTATTTTTATGTTTTTCTTGTTCACTGAGAAAACCTGTTGGGAGATGAAGGAAAACCTCTGTTTGGAGCACTTCAGAATAGACAGGTATGTGTATTCCAAATAAAGTATTTGTAACGTATGCTTATGGTATGCTTTTTTTTTTATATATATATATATTTTTTTTTTTTTTTTAATTAGGATTTGGGTGAAGATTTACAGAGTAAATTCACTTTTC